TATGTTTGGGCATTTTAGGGGCTGAGGCAGGCTCTCATTGTATAGCCTAGGCTGACCTTGAGCTCTAGACCCTCCTGCCTCTGCCTCCTAAGTGCTGGAACTACATAGTCATATGTCACCATGCCCACTTTCAGCAAAATACGAATCTTGCACATGACATTTCTGTTACAGGGTATCACCTGATATTTGTTAATACTTTTTACTTTCTTTTTTTTGCTTTATTTATTTTTATTTATTATTATTTTTTGCTATGTAGCCTAGGTTGGCTTCAAACTTATCACTCTCTTAATTCAGCCTCCTGAGTGCTGGAATTACAGGTGTGAGCCACCCTGCAGATGCTTGCAGACTTCTTCCAGCATTTTATCAGGATACATCGTGGTTATTAAAGGAGTTCTTTATCAACTAGGTATTTGCAAGAATCTCACACAGGCAGCTTAGGGCCCTGTCCCATGCTAATGCAAGTTGCGATTACTGGGTGTGCATGGTGGGTCAACTTTCAACCTTTGATCTTCTTGCGGAGACTTAGTTGAACCCTGGCAGTGCTTTCTCTGCAGATACTGCCTTCCCCTTAGCACCAGGCTGCTTCTTGTCCATATGGCTTGCCTGTGGGGTTCCTCACCTCATCCTACCTCTGCCCAGGGAAGCTGTTCCTATGCACCTGCACACCTGTCCCCGTCATTCTAAGAACATCACTGCTGGTTTGTAGCTGAGGGTGTCCTGTTTATTGTGGGGAGCCAGGCTTTATGTTTGTCTGAGATCTGCAACCAGGACAGACCTACCAAGCATCTTGTATGTCCCCCCCGCCCCGCCCCCGTCTGACCTTCCCCACAGGCTGGGCATCTACTCCGGGGCTTCAGAATCTTTCAGCCCAGGAAAGGAGTTTGCACTTTTGTGTGGGCTCCTTATTGCTTTGGGGTGAGTTACAAGAGGAACTCTTTAAGCGGGTATATTACTGCAGGACAGCTCACTTGTCCTCTTTTCTCTGCCAGATAAAAATTTTGTTGCTTTCCTCTTGTATAGTAACTTTTCAAGTGGATGTGAAGAGTAAGATAGTTTTGCAAACAGCTTGTTTTTAGGTGTGGGACGCTTGTAGTAGTAAATGTGTCCTTGTGTTGACTGGTCTTCTGGGAATCTAGGCATCCTGGGAAGTCAACGGAGGTAAATAGAGCTCTGGTTAATATTTATGCACTGGAGGTCTTTGGGTTGGTTAGACTTGTTTACCCAGAAGACAATGCTGTATTGTAGGCGTCTGAGTTTTGATGTCAAACACCAATTGTGGTTGCTGGTTTATGACCTACCAGTGTTCCTCCGATGTTCTCTGGACTTGCTTAGGATTGTAACTCAGAGCTTGTGGCTGGTCTTGCATTTGAATTCAACTTTTGCCTCTCCGTGTGTCCCTCCATGTTCTTTGGCCTTGTTTAGGGTTTTAACTCAGAGCTTTTGGCTGGTTTTTCATTTTAATTCAACAGAGCTTTTTTTTTTTTTTTTTTTTGAGACAGGGTCCCCCTGTAGCCCCAGCTAGCCTGGAGCTCCCTATATAACCAGGCATGGCCTTGAACTCCAGAGATCTACCTGCCTCTGCCTCTGCTTCCCTAGGGCTGGACTAAAGGCGTGTACTACCATGCCAAGCTTCAACAGAGCTTTCTAAGCACAGCCACTGTCTGTGTGCAAGCACGAGAACAGAAAGCAAGTGTGACATCCTTTGGGAAATGACAATACCCGGAAAAATAAATGATACAGGCCTGGGGTCATTTGAGGGCTACATAGAGAGGAAGTTAAGATAGCCAGGTCTGTTAGTCACTGACTCAGGTAGAGGTTTAGATAGCAAGGTGCTAAAAAAAAAAAAAATGCAAGTGCATCTGGGGATCTTAGGAAAGAAAGTGGTCCTTTGGCTCAGGAAATGAGGACAAGATGCTGTGTTCGCAGGTGGAGTTCTAGCTCTTCCACCTTTGCCTGGGTGGGAAGTGACATGGGAGACTACACTAGGTCCCTCCCTTCCTGTCTGGCAGTGGCTCTCTGGCTGGGGCTCAGCACATAGTAGGAAAACACAGAGGAGGCTGGGAATGCGGAAGACTCAGCTGACTGAGTGGGCTTCCTCTTGAGGTTACATTATTTTTACCCACAAGATATCAAGTAGAACACATTTATAGAAATATATTTTGCCTGGTTTATAAAGAGGGTTGTGAACCCAATTGACTTCATAATGAATACATCAACACCTGACCTGACACATCGAGTGCACATCTGTGGTCTGTCTTCTACTCTGGCACAAGGCACCATGCTCAGCATTACAGGTTGATGGTCTAGTGTTGTCTTTCAATACAACTAGGTGAACTAATCAAAGCCCAGACCATATAGCCAAGTGGCTTAGCACCTCTTCTAATGGTGAAGGTTTGTTTGGGGCAGAAATTAGAAAGGTGAGGTAACTGAGTAGAATCTTCAGTGGGTATGTGTGTAGAAAGGAGGGGCAGGTCTGGCATTGTCCTGTCGTGGGAACTAATTTTCAGGACTGGATGAGGAGTGAATAATCATTCCTCACTTGCTTCAGTGGACAACTGTGGAATGGTGGGGAGGGAGAAGCAGGTGCAAGGTGTTTGCTACTCAGGCCCTTTTCCTGTCCAATGGAGGATATGAGTTTTCAGACCAGGGCAATTGGTGTGATACACGTTGTTGATGGGGTCCTACATTCTCTGATGGGGTGACTTTGAGGTAACTTATGCCTATGGTGAGAACCTGAAGGGTCTCACTGGAAGAGGTCAGGAGTTTCCATAAGGAAGTTACTAGAAAATTTCTGGGAACCTGCCTCTTCAAGAGAGGAAGCAGAATGAACCGGGCAGGAAACCTTCCAGAATGAGACTTACAAACTAGCTGGCAATACTTGAGGAGCAGAGCAGGAGGGTGGCCTGTTTGAAGACAGGGCCAGCTCTGTACCTGTTACTGAATGACCCTGTGATGGCCTCTCCTTGGCTGTGTTGTCACTAAGTGCCGCGGGTGCATTCTTCCTCCCTTCCTGTCTATTTTCTTGTCTTCTGTTGGTCCTCATGACAGGGCATGGTGGGTCTTTCTGTGTTTTGGGTTTTACATTCATCTTCTCATTCACACCCATGACTTTTACTTGTACAGTGAGGTGAGTTCTGTTTCTCAGTAAGTAGCTAACACTGGGTTAATTTTTCCACAAAAGCAGGCTTGCTTATCATGCCATCTTTCCATTTCCATCCCCTCCGTCCAAGTTGTGACATCATGCCTGAGTTGTTAGAGTTGCTCTGAAGCTGGACTCCCCAGCCCTCCCCGCTCTCATTTCCCGTGTCATGTGTCATCTTCCGGTCCATTTTTCTAAAGTTGCATTTCTTTGGTGTCACTATGCTTGTCCCCGTGGCTCTCTGCTGCCTACAGGGTGAAGACTGTGCTTCTCAGCCAGGCATTTGAGGTTCTCGGTGGTCTGATTTTAGTCCATTTGCAAAATGCATCTTTAACTTTTCAGCCCTGATTTACACTCCACTTCCCATCTTCTCTCTCTCCCTCCCTTCCCTTCTCTCCTCCTCCTTCCTCTGCCTCTTTTTTTTCTTCCCCGTCCTCCCTCCCCCCTTGTACATTTTTTGAAACTAGGTCTCTCACTGAGCCTGGATTTCGCTGATTTAACTAGACTGCATAGCCTGTAAGCTCCATGGATCCTCCTGTCTTTGTCCAGCGATGGGGATCAGAGAGGTCCTCATGCTTACTTGGCAAATACTTTATCAACTGAGATACCTTCCCAGCTCCACACCAACTTCTCTTTGCCCATAACTGTGTGAGTGCTCTTCCACATCCTTGGAATGCCTTTCCCACATATGTTTCCTGTCTTTATGTATTATCTAAGGTTTAAGACCAAACTGAGTTCAGCTCCCCTAGGTTGGCGACTTCCCCTGTCCCCTTTTTAACTGTTACATCTTCCATTGACATCTCATTCCTTTGTGCTTTGGCGACACAGAATCAGCCGTTATCTTGAGCTCCACTCTGTGCCACATCGGGCCTTGGTAGGTGCCAAGATACAGGGAAACTGAGGGTTGGGACCTCTTTAGGGTATTCCTCAAGCCATGAGGTCAGTAAACAGGCTCAGCCACATGGAGTGGCTTTCACTGAGCTGTAAGTATGGGGTGTGTGTGCAGCACCCGAGCTCTGTCCTGTGTGTCTGGGAAGTGATGTTTGCCCTTATGTTTAAAGCAATTTTACAAGTTTCCAGACAACGTAGTGCAAGACTGAGGCAGTGGGAGGAGAGGGCTGGGTGTCCTGAGAGAAGAGCAGACTATTCAGGGAACAGAGGACTGTTTTGTTTCTAGAAACATACCTTTGTCAATACTATAATATGTACAGAGGTTTCTTGGAAAAGGGGGCTAGTTGGAGCAGTGGGTGACAAAGAAATGAACCGGGAAGTTCTCATCAGCAAAACAAGTTGCAGGAATGGAGGGCAGCGCCCAGGCAACAGGCCTCATGTCCGTGTGTCTCTGTGTGTGCTTATTTTCTCAGATTATCAACTGGAGTGCTCCAGTGTGTGTTATTCATTCATCTTGAGAATGCCCACCTCCTTTAGAATGTTACTGTGTCCCTACAAGATAATTAGTGGATGCTAATGATAGGGCCCAGGCCCTGTCTGTCATCTTCCCACCAGACTTTAAAGGTGTGTAAAGTAGAGCCTGATCTTGGGAGACACTGATTAATAATATGTGGAGCGTAACTTAGTCTGTAGTGTGACTAATTAAGAGCTGATTGCAACTAGAAAGGACATGTAATATGCAAAAATGCAAATGAATAACATGCAAAAGTATTTGCATGCCTAAAGGTGACATTGTAGGCTGATAAACCAGAGACTGCTACATGTGATTCCTGTGTGGCGGATGTATCACTCCCTTACCTAGTGAGTGTGCTTTGGGGAGATTCCCAAAGCAAAATGGAACCACGGCAAGTCACCCAGGTGGCTTTCCAAGGGTCCCCTCTTCTGATATATTTTTCTTTGTTTCCTGCAGATTTTGTATAAGTTACTTTCATCATGGGAGAAATAGAACAGAAGCCTACCCCAGCATCACGACTGGGGGCCCCAGAGAATTCGGGGATCAGCACCTTGGAACGAGGACAGAAACCGCCCCCCACACCTTCAGGAAAACTCATGACTGTCAAAATCCAGATGTTGGATGACACCCAGGAGGCATTCGAAGTTCCAGTAAGTCAGGGGTGTGTGGAGGGATACAAGGGTGTGTACAGCCTGCAGTGGGATGGTCACCAATGATCCAGTGACATGAGGTGTCCCGAGAGGCTCTGAGCTCCCCAGCCCTAGTAGGCATTATTGACCCATTCTGGTTCTGGGTGGTCTAGTTTTCAGATCTGTGCATGAACTATATGTATGCATAGTGACATTGATGGCCTGACTGGAGTTTTACTGTGATTTCCTATATATAAATAGATGTCACTGTATGTGAGTGTATATTTTACATATAATATATAACCTGTGTATCATGTATAGCTGATATATAGAGAGAGTATGTGGTATAATTACATATAATATGCATGCACACAACATTGTATATGTTAACATTTGAAATGGAGGGATGAGTGATATTCTGTGGATCCCAGTTTAATTCCCAGTTTGCGAATCTTCTCTTTGATGCACATGTGTATTGGTCCCACTTAACATCATATTGAATACTGGAACAAGAAATCCTTAGAAAACCATCCAGTAGCATCTTTGAGCATTTTCACATGAGGACACTGGGAACAAGCAAGCTCATGGGCTTTATCTGTGGTGTGAGAGGAGAGCCTAGAAAACCCTACTACAGATCTCCCACCCAAGGGCCAGAGCCAGGGGTCAGGGAAGGAACATTATGGTAGCTGTCCTAGGGTCCCTCTTCCTGCCAGAAGCCCTTACCTTCACGTGCTTCGCTTCTGCAGTCTGCTGAGGGCTCTGCCTCAGCCTCTCCCTAGCCTCCTGCTTAAGGAGCTGCTGCCAGACATTGAGGCACCCATGGCCAATTATGGAGTTGCAGCCTGTGGAGGTGTCCAGGCCGGAGGGTGCTGTGTGTGTATCCATGTACAGATACACACATACTTAAGCTTGCAAAACTCAGAGTGCACTTTTCCTTTCCTGAAGGGCTATACTCCTTGGCCTTGACTTGAGCCCAACACACCTCATGTTCAGTCTTTCGTGTTTCGTCTTGGGAACCAACCACTGCATCTAACACTGATTGTGGAGGAGGAAAGTAATTCTTGAACTTCAAGCAGCTGACACACAGACAGACTTTGGGAACACACCTGTTTTTAAAGCGGAGACAATCAGTTCATTATTGCTGTTGGCTGGAGTGCCTGAAACTTAATAGTCAGTATTACCCCATCATTTAATCATTTATGGGACGTGATTCAGTAAATTATATTTATTTCATAGAACATTGTTTAGGGAGTGTGAATTAAGTGTCTCAGGGAAAGACAAACCTCAGAGTAGTTGTATTTAAAACTACCCATTTTGTCACACATTGCAAATGGCCTTTGTACCATTCGCATTCTCTTGCTGTGGAATTCATCTTCCAAGGACTTGGCCTAGGACTTCATATTCCAGTGAACAAAGCTACTGCTAATTTCTAGAATTGTAAAGTGCATGGGGAAAGCACCTGCCATCCACTTTTCTAGAACACAAGCTCCTCCTCCTCCCTTCTCCATTGTCTTGCCAGACTGGTTTGGCCTAGTATTCAGTTTCTGCTTCCTCTATGGTCCTGTTAGGTGCCCAGGCTCCAGCCATGCCCTCTATTAAATGGTGTTCTAGGGCAGGTTGGGATAGAGGAGTTCTCAAACGCTGCTGCGTGCACTGTTGGGATCACTGCATTGCATTCAACTGCAATGTTCTTCGCCTTACCAAACCATCCCCAGCTACCATTTGTATAGGAACTGTGGAGGTATCATGGAGTAACAAAACTGTATTTTCTTGTTTTAAAATTATTCGGGGCCTGGAGTGATAGCTCAGATGGTAAAATGCAAGCACAAGGAATTGAGTTTGATATCCAGAACCCATGCACAAAATCTGGGAGTGAGAGTGAGGGCTGGGGAGGTGGGGACTGCAGATCCTGGGGCTTACAGGCCAGCCAACCTACCCTGTTTGGCCAGTTCCAGGCCAGTGAGAGACCCTGTCTCAAAATAAAAGGTAGATGATACCTAAGAAAAACCCCCAAGGTTGACTGTCCTCTGGTCTTGACATACATGCTTGTATACATGCACCTGTACACACACATAGACATGCAATTATTTATCATTATAATTTTTGATAACTATTCTTTGCATTTTTTAACCTCTTTGTCTAGAAGGAACCTTTTTCCTTGATCCATGAAGAAATCCTGTGCAACTTGAATGACCCTATTAGTTTATTTATGTTTCTCTTGGACAAGTTACTCAACCTCTTAGTACCTGCCTTTTCTTCATGAAATAAATAGTAAACCCTACTTCGTGCTACATGAAATTTAAACCACAAAATACCTTAGAGCTATTCTCGGCATGTATTGAGTGTTTAGTAGATAGGATTTGTGGCACCAATGTGCCCATAACCATCTTCTCAGGGTAAGAACCTGCCTTCTGATCTCCTGCATGTCCCTGGCATTTGCTGGGAAGATGGTAACGGTTGCTCATTAAGCATTTGCTTACAACATTTCAGTATTTATTTTAGAAGTGGAACTTAGTGCTGTAGCTAATTTTGATATGTCCCTTCCATTCATATTTTGTTTGTACTTTCCTACTTGGGTTAGAGTTTGCCTTTGCAGCCTGGAGGCAACAGGTGAGTAGGTATCAGCCTGACTCTGGCTGGAGCTGATTCTAAATCTCTGCCATGTGTGCTTTAAGAACAGACAGAGCCCAGGCCATCCCACAGCTGGAAGTCATCAAGGCTGCCTGGTGACTCAGTCACCTCAAGGATGGGAGGACAGTGGCTGAGGGATTGCAGAGACTAGCTCCGCATAATTGCTTTGCAATCTTGCTTCAAAGCTTTTTGCTAAGAATTTACCAAGGCCAATGGTCTGACCCTGGAAGTGTCCTTCTCGCCCACGTGGGCGGGATTGGGCGTCCAGAGCGAATGAATTTTCATTGCTCACACGCATTTGCCACACAGATGAACAAGGCACACGGTCAGAAGTCTCTAGAGCTTCCTTTGGGGTCTGTCTTCAGTGAACCTTGTCTTTCCCTGAGGATTGGGTCTCTGGGCCTTTTTTTACTTTTGTGTTAAAATGTCGATGTAGGCAAAAACAGTCATTTTAAATGCAAGCTCTCCAAACGCTTCCTGGCACAAAGAAACAAATCTATTTTCCATGGTTGTTTCCTTTTTTTTTTTTTTGTAACCTTTAGAAACATTTTTATGTAGAGTTTAACGTTCTGAAAAATCAAGGTAGCAAGTGCCAGTCTTTCCATCCAGAGCAAGCTCAGTGAGCGCCTTCACTGCTGAACTTGGACTGTCTTTTTAGGCACTTCTGTCTGCACCGTGAAAAGTTCAAAACCAACATTTATAGGACACCCTTGCCTGGCATTTTATTGTCTTGATGTTGAAAGCGCTGTGCAAATAAGCCACACCTCAGCTTGATAATGTAACTTTCTCTTCTTACGGAGCTTATAAAACACAGTGAGCCCTGGGCTTTGGAAAGGGTTAATCACATGCCCCCTGCCAGGCCACCACCTCTGAAGGTCCCTGAGAAGGTTTTATGTGTCCGGTCCTCATGACCCTCTGGTAAACAAACACTGCTCCATGGCTGTTGCAGAAGAAGCAGATGGCAGCTTCTCCCTGTGTTTATTCTTTTCCTTAGCTGTTGTCAGTGTAGGAAGAGCTGGGAAAAGCAGAGGAAGTAAGGAGTCAGGCTTTGCCTCTTGGGCAGATGAAGCCGTGGCAAGGAGATGCTGTGCGCCTGTTGGGGGTTGGCAGGAGTGGAGAGAGAACTCGGCCTCTATAGTAGTCATGGAAGGAAGTTATCCTTGGCTCTTCCTGTCTTCCACTTGCCTTCATCAGAAGCTATTAGAGCTCTCAGTCTGAGAGCCTAAGGGCCAAGTGTGAATATTTTCCCTTAGGGAGCCTGGGAGCAAGCGTTCAGGAGCCTGGCCTGAGGGTCTGCTGTTGGCTGGAACCCCTTATAGCTGTTCTCAGCCACAGGCTTTGTGCTGTAGCTTGTGCATTAGCAACTTATGCCAAAAAACTCGGATTTGTTTGCCTGCTAAATGTGGCCAAATGGGAGCTCTTGTAGGCAAAGCCTTGTTTCTCCCTCACTGCCTGTATCTGACTCATGACTCCAGGACAGCGGACAGTCACACCCGCCACCCTCTTTCCACACTTACACAAGTTCAGGGAGGTAGGTGCTTGGTGCTAGCTCAGCATTCAGATGGGAGAATTCACCTGATAAGCTTTCCCATCAGTTCCTCGGGTTTGCATTAAAGTCAGGCTGGCGTCGGCACCCAGCCCACAGGATCCCTCACTTTAACCATCTCCCACCGAGCCAGACACCTGCCCTTGTGAGATTCATGGCACCACTGTCTCACTCTGCCCAGTCTTATTTTTTTGAGACAGGGTCTCACTATGTAGTTCTGGCTAGCCTCAAATTCCCTATGGACACCAGGTTGGCCAAATACCTGCCTGTTTTTGTTCTCTGAGTGCCGGGATTAAAAGTGTGTGCCTCCACACATAGTCCCAGTCTTTAAAAAGAGTCTTGCCTCCTCAGCTCTAGCTCAGTCTATCAAGAGGTTCTTATTTCATCTGGCTACCTCACCACGATCCCCCTCCTCCTATATTCCCAGCTCTGGGCTGCTCCAGCTGTTGCGTGTTTGTGATTACCCCTCCATCCAATTTATTTCTCAAAATCCCACCCACCAGGCCCTTCCCAGGGGTAGAGGGCAGCTTTCTTTCCTTACGGTATTAGTTTTTCCCTCTAAGTAGCCTGGAAATCTCTGTCTGCTCTCTGCCTCTGACTAATGAGGCTCTTCATACTGTGGTGCTCAGACTCAGTTTCCTTATCTGCAAAATGAGGTGTTTGATCCAGATAAAGCTTTATTGTCAGGAGGTAGAGAGACAGATGATCAGCAGTTAAGAACACTTGCTGTTTTTTCAGAGGACCCAGGTTTGAGTCCCAGCACCCATATGGTGGCTAATAACTGTCTGTAACTTCAATTCCAGGGGATCCAACACCCTCTCCTGGCCTCTCTGGGCATTGCACA